CCCCGCTCTCTCTCCCTCTCACCCGCTTTTCCATCCCGGATGATCCCAGCGAGGAACGTCCCTCCCCTTTCCCAGCGGGAAGGGCAGCACAGCAGCCTCCCGGGGCTGTCTCAGGACGCTGCACCTCCAGCAGACATTTCCAAACTAATCCCCACCGCAGCCTGTGCCTGCTGCTCCCAGCCGGGGGGGCCACAGCCCCCAGCTCGCTCAGGGCTCTCCCCACACCCCAGGGCTCAGCCCTGCCCCGCGGCCAAACCCGCCCTGCTGACTGGTGCCAAGAGGGCCTGACCCCCTCTGACGAGGTGGGATTCCCAGCACGTCCCAAAGAGTCCTAAAACCAACCCTGGGATACCACCAGGACTTGTGCAGAGGGGACTGAAAACACAGGTGGCCTTGGAGATCTGCTCTTGTGTGTTTGTGATCAGGAACGGGCTGGGAAGGGGCTGGGGAGGGCAAGGCAGGGATCAGTGCTCCTTGGGCTGTACACGGGATTTCCCAGCTGTGCCAGGAGCTGCAGACTGATCAATTGGACCCCACTTGTCCAGTGATGGAGGGGGGGACACCACATACAGGCAGAATGGGGCACCTTTCTGCCTTGGGGAGTCTCATTCTGAAACAACTTAATAATAATAACGTTATTAATAATAATTAATATGAGTTGTCAGCCACACTGGCATTAGAACATGACTGCATCTGTAGGTGCTGGGAGCTACGAGTGTGGCCTGGGAGTGAGAGTCTCTGTCCCCAGGGCCTTGGCTGGGGATGATGGCATAATATAGTGTCTGCTCAGGGGTGAGGATTGGGCCCCTTTCACCCCCCAAAATAAATCTTGTGCAGCATCAGAGAGTGGGGCTGATCTGGAAACTTCCTGGTGCTTGCTGGAAGGTAGGTGCTTTATTCCAGAGAAGGAAATACAGCAGCAGACCCACCAGTCCAAACCTGTCCCTGCATGGCTGATCCAAACCATGATTCCAAACGTGATTCCCAGCCCTGTTCCCTTCTCATCCCATTCCCGGTCCTAAACACAACCTCAGTGGTGACCCTGGTCTCAGGATCCCATCAGGGTGTCTCACTGGGACCAGTTCCCACACACCTGTTGCTCTAACCCAGCCAAAAAACCACACGTGGCCCAGCCTGGTTTGGGGAGGTGGGTGCTGCAAAACCCACCCCCAGCAGCCCAGGACCCTTCAGCCTGGCCCACAGTACCCGGCACTGGGGCAGCACCTCCGTGCTGGGTTGGAGACAGGGCAGAGCAGCAGCAGGGATCCTTGGGACAGGGAGGGACAAGCAGCCCCCAGCACGGGGCGTGTGGCACCCCGAGAACGGGGCCAGGCTGGGAGCGGGGCTGATGCCGATGCAGTCCCTGGATTTTTCCCGCAAGGCTCTTTTGTTCCGCTGCCCCGATCCCAGGCGGCTCGGAGCTCGCAGGGCCGAGGGCAGGGGGTGCGGGGACCCGACAGCTGGCAGCCGGGCTGCCCGGGGGGGCTCTGCCCTCCCTGATCGCCTCCAAGCTGCTGGCCAAGGGCTGCTTTGGAAGAGGGACAAGATGCAGCTGCTGGGCCGGGAAGGTGGAGAACTGAGGAAATCGAGTCTTTGAGAAATAAGCAGAGACACCGCGTGAAAGCGGCGCAGCTTCGCGCCCCCGGGGGGGGACATTTCCCCCAGCTCCGCAGCGAAGCGGCTGCCCCA